CACACATACACATACACGGTGACTGCTCTGAGCCTCCGATGCAGCTGGGGGCAGGCCCCCAGCAGGGACACACACACACACACACACACACACACACACAGGGCGCCTGCTCTGAGCCTCTGCTGCCAGACTTTGGCTTAGGCCAGCTCCCCTAAGCCATCAGTAGGACATCCACTGAGGGCTCCAGGACTGTGAGAGGAGGCAGGCTGGGCTGAGGGACCCCCAACCCCCAGTGCACGAATTTTGTGCACTGGGCCTCTAGTTTAGGTATAAAACAAAGGGGAATGTTCATTCACACATGGCAACTTGAGATATTTGGATATGGTGTTGCTAAGTAGGTTTCCAAAGATGGAAAAAAATTACTATGGTTATCAGCACTACTGTGGCCCTATTAGATACTGGAACATCTAAGCATCAGTGTGTGACCATGCAAAACAAGACTTTAGAGAATGTCTATTTTCAAAAGAGTTTCTGTGCATTGAGGCAATTGTGAAAATATTTACTTTCCAGAATCAAGCCCACATTAGGCTTAGGATCATGTTCTAACTATATAAAAATATTGACCAATAAAAGAAAGTGCTCCAAATGTGGCTATTCCGATTCATAGGTTTTTTTTAAGTATGTACAGAAAGTATAAAAGTTTTTTTGAATTTAATGTAACTAAGCTTCCAGTCTTTTTTTTTTTATTGATTTTATTGGGGTGACATTGGTTAATAAAATTATATAGGTTTCAGGATTATAATTCTATAATACATCATCTGTATATTGCATTGTGTGTTCACCAACCCAAATCTCCTTCCGTTACCATTTATCCCCCCTTTACCCTCTTCTACCTCCTGTCACCCCCCCTTCCCTCTGGTAATCACCATACTGTTATCTGTGTATAAGAGGTTGTTTTCCTTTGCTTAATCCCTTCACCTTTTTCACCCAGCCCACTATGATTTCATTTATATGTGAAATCTGGTGAACAAAATAAACTAACAAAATAGAAACATATTCATAGAGAACAGACTGACAGTTATCAGAGGTAAAAAGGGGGTTGGCGACTGAGTGAAAAAGCTTCACATATTTGCCTTTTTAATTTTAAGATTTGTCGATTTTACCTTCAAAACAAATCATTTCTTAAATTGTAAAAAGTATTCAATATATGCAGAAATAAAAAGAATTTTGAAATTAGTTGAGGTTCATGTACTTCAACTCTTTGGAATTAGTTTAGCAAAATGAATCTGGTACTCTTGTTGAATAGGGGAGTGATAAGTATATAAGCAAAATTTACTCATTATAGTTGAATTTGGAGTATATTCCAATACATCATTGACAGATTCTGGAATGAGATGGGGAAGGAGGGAAAAAAGACCTATAAATATTGGTACATATCAATTACTACATAAAAAGTCAAATGCAATGTCAAATCAAAGGGTTCAGTGCATGAGAGAATAGTGATAAGTTAACAATATAAAACTTTATCTAGAGTTACATGGACATTAAATTAGTATTGTGAAACAATACATTGAGGATTTATAGGAATACCTGGAAATTCCTTCTAATGTACATATAAATAGAACCATGGAAGCTTTTTATATTACCCATTTTATGGCCTTATAGCTTTAATGAACCAATTGAAATCTGACTCTGTTCCAAATCCCATCCCTTATCTCTAGATAAAATAAAATCTGTTCATTTTCAAAATAGAATTTTATGTGTCCATACTTAAGCCACATTTAAGGAAATCACCTCTGAACTAATTTTGGATGTGTCTCTTCATCTTGTACATGAAACTGCTACAGATTTAATATCAACATTCATCATCTAGTCAGACCCTGTACATGTTCTTTAAACCAATCAAATATGGGATCCTCAACATTTTCTATGTCAATAAAATTAGGTGTGGAATTATCAGATTCAATGAAGACCTGTTTTTTCTCTGTCACACTGGATGTCTAGATTCTATTTGGTTTGGGTTTGGAAGATGGAGAAGTATAGACGTTTCTTGGGCTGAATCTTTTAACAATAGAGGTGTAGAGATAGAACTAGATTGCTGAGAGGCTGGCTATTGACTGCAAAGCACTGCCACTTGCCTTAGTGGGGGTACTCAATGGATTTGGAGTAGTTAAGGTTTTGTGGGAGGGATTACTGGAAGGTGATAAAGCAATTGTTTGATTTGAATAAATCTGCATGGGTAGGAGCAACACCAGAAGCAGCAGCCCCAGTTGAAGCCTGGCTACATCACTTTGCCCATGTCCTCTCTGTCAGTGTGTGGCCGCATCTCACTTTGGATGTGGAGTGGGTGGGGAACCTGCGGCTCCAGGCAGGAGCAGGCAAGGTTTAATATCCGATGTTTTGGAGTGAACAAAGTTACAATTTTTCAACATTGCATCACTCTTTTTTAAGCTATCTTGTGATCTGATTTTGTTATATATCAAAAGCATCAAATTTTTGGTTATTTTTAGACCATTTAGATAGTTTGAATTTCTAAACTTGGATTCTGCAATAAATTATCTTTCTGTTCCCTCATTCCTCTATATTCAGTAGTTTCTTCCAATATGGAGATACATTAGTCAGAGACTTCCTTACAGCAGTAATGCTAACTTTTCAGCCTAAAGGGCAAGTCTCTGACTAAGACAAAAGGTTATTTACACATTTTTGTTACTTGAGAAATGTAGATGAAGAAAGAGGAAAGCTGTTATATTACAAAATACTTAATAATTTGCAAATGGTTAAGAAGTGAGTGATTGGGGCCAAAATGTTGATTTAGGGTTAAAAATAAGTTAACTTTTTATAGTTAGAAACCCATAATTTAATATCATTCTGTTTAATTTTACTATTAGAATAATGCTATTTCTTAGTATAGATTTTGGTCATACTTTAAAATCATTTCATTCTCCAAAGAGCTTTAATATGCTATTTTAGTGTTAATTTTTCTCCTATTGTAATTGAAAAAAACAAGGTTCAAGTCACTATGTATAGTGTGTATAATAAAGGGGAGAAATAAGCATAGTAATAATTATAAGAAGTAATTCTATAAGGATACACATGAAACTAATACAAGTGATAACTTTCATGGGAGAAGAAATGAAATGAATGGAAGCAAGGGTAAAGATGAAACTATTTTCTAAATATCATTTATTATTGAAAAATTGATAATAGCAATTAAAAGTGGAGGTGGAGTAAGTGCAAGTTCACAGACATGCTCCCAGAACCAATTTGTGATTACAACTAAAATTTAAAAAAAAACCCACCCTGAATAATCAGCTGAAGACTAGCAGGAGACAACCCTGATAGCCAAGGACAGAAAGTGGAGACCACATAGAGACCGGTAGGAAGTGTGGAGGTGTGAAATGGCTGGCCAGGCTTCCACAGACAACCGCTGAAATTCTGGAGAGATATTTCAGTTGTAGGGAGTTGTCACTGAGAACTCTGAGGTCTAATCCCTAACCTGTCCCTCTACCTCCCAGCAGAGAGCACCAGAACTGAAAAAGGTGCCCTCGTAACATCTGACTGTGAAAACCAGCAGGGTTGCTGTCTGCCAGGGAGAGATGGCTGGAAGTGCAAGCACCCTCTTAAAGGGCCAATGCACAACACTCACCTTGGTCTCTAGCAGAAGGAGGACAAAGTGACCTGGAATTGTATAAACATAAGCCAGGGCTGGGGGATCTGGGGTTAGAACTTGGAAGGCAGACACCCCAGTTTCCTGTGCTGAGTCATTGCCTCATGTTACACAGGGCATCTCTCAGGGAAACCTTTGCTATTCTGCAGTTTGGGCCAGGGAGGAAGACAGTTGACCACATTATTGGAAAAATCCCTTGCTCCACCCTGTGGAGTATCTGAGACTGAGAATAACAGCCTCCAGGCAGAAACAATCGCCCCAACATGTTGAAAAACCTCTTGCTCAACCAGTGGAAGACTGATTGAGGCTATTCCAGACTGAATTTAATCAGTCTGCAGCCAGAGGCAGGTTTCTGGGGGCTTTGAACCTTTGCCTGATCTAATTAGTCGGAAACAGCAGTTTGGATCCCCACCAAAGAAACCATCCTGGACTGTTCAGGGAGGCAAAAGCCAGTGGGACACCAAGTGCCTGCAGGTGACACCTGCAGGATCAGCTTCATGGGAGAAGGGAGTATAGCTCAGAACAGTGTCAATCAAGGTATGAGACACAAGGCAGATTCTGACCACTGGACTGCTAGGGGATTCAATCTCTCAGACCTCAATCAGGTCACCCAGGGCCAGAAAAAGAAAGGGACTCACATTCAGCTGCACTAGAGAAGCTTCCAGGAGGCCCCAGATAGACATACCAAGGGACCAAATTCAACATTAGAGCAAAATCCAACAAGCCCCACAAATAGCAGACCCAAAGCACCCATATAACAGCTGGCATGACCACATTGGGATTGAATCTCACTGGCAGCAAGTCAGAGGGTAGATCCTTCCTACAAATGGGATATCAACACTCAAGTCCCAACTATAACAGCAGAGCACAAACAATGCACACAAAGGTCATTTCTAGAGCATCCAGCTCAGCTGGACAAAGATACTACACCACCGGACTCCTCAAGACACTTTCTGCATAATGCCATCCCACAAAGACTGGGAGGCATAACAATTCTATTTAATACATAGAAGCAAATACAAAGAGACAGGTAAAATGAGGAGTCAAAGAAACAACCCCCAAATGAGAGAAAAGAAGGAATTTCCAGAAAAAGAACTAAATAAGATGGAGGCAAGCAACCTATCAGACATAGAGTTCAAAGCAATGGTTACATAGATGTTTAGGGGCTTAGTATAAATTACAATAACATGAAAAGGGAAATCAAAGCCATGAACAAGAACCAGACAGAAATGAATAATGATATATCTGACACCAAAGAACACACTGGAAGGGATTAAAAGTAAACTGGATTAAGCAAAGGATCGAATCAGCAATTTGGAAGACAAGGTAGAAATAAATACTCAATTAGAGCAGCAAATCAGAAAAAGAATTAGAAAGCAGGAAAATAGGTTAAGGGAGTGCTGGGACAACATGGAAAGTAATGACATCTGCATTGTGGGAATACTAGAAAGGGAAGAGGATGAGCAAGGAACAGAGAAGCTGTTTAAAGAAATAGTAACAGAAAACTTTCCCAACCTGGTGAAGAAAAATGTCACACAAGTTGAGGAGGCACAGAGAGTTGTAATCAGGATGAACCCAAAGAGACCCACAAATAGACACATCATTATTAAAATGGCAAATATTAAAGACAAAGAAAGAATCTTAAATTTAGCACGAGAGAGACAGAAAATTACCCAAAAAGGAATTCCCATTAAAATGTCAGCTGACTTTTCAATAGAAATACTTCAGGCCTAGAGGGAGTAGCATAAAGTATGCAAAGTAATGAAAAGCAAGACCCTAAATCCAAGACTACTGTAGCCAGTGAAAATATCATTTAAAATTGAAGGTGAAATAAAAAGCTTTCCAGACAAAAAGAAGGTTAAAGGAGTACATTACCACCAACGCAAGAAATGTTACAGGGCCTGCTTTAAGAAAAAGAGGGAGAGAGAGAGAGAGAGAAAGAGGATCATAGGCATAAAGAAAATGAAAATGGCAACAAATAAATACCTATAATAATAACCTTAGCCCTAGCTGGTTTGGCTCAGTGGATAATGTTTTGGCCTGGGGACTGAAGGGTTCCAGGTTCCATTCTAGGCAAAAGCACATGCCTGGGTTGTGGGCTTGATCCCCAGTAAGGGTTGTGCAGGAGGCAGCCAAGCAATGATCCTCTTGCATCATTTATGCTTCTATCTCTCCCTCTTCCTTCCTCTCTGAATCAATAAAAATATATTAAAAAATATAAAAAATAATGATAACAACCTTAAATATAAATGGATTAAATGCTCCAGTCAAAAGACATAGGGTGACTGAATAGATAAGAAAACATGACCCATATATATGCTGTCTATAATAGACACACCTGAAAACAAAAGATACACACAGACTGAGAGTGATGAGAAGGAAAATATATATTTCATGCAAATGGAAAAGAAACAAAAGCCAGAGTAGCAATACTCATATCAGGCAAAATAGACTCCAAAACAAAGGCCATAACAAGAGATAAAGAAGGCCACTTCATAATACTAAATGGAATGATACAACAAGAAAACCTATCAGACATAGAGTTCAAAGCAATGGTTACATAGATGTTTAGGGGCTTAGTATAAATTACAATAACATGAAAAGGGAAATCAAAGCCATGAACAAGAACCAGACAGAAATGAATAATGATATATCTGACACCAAAGAACACACTGGAAGGGATTAAAAGTAAACTAGGGAGAGAATGATAGCAATACAGTCATAGTAGAGGACTTTAATACCCCACTGACATCACTAGATAATTCCTCTAAACAAAAAATCAGTAAGGAAACAGCAATACTAAATGACTCACTAGATAAGAAGGACTTAATTGACATTTTCAGAATATTTCACCCCAAAGTAACAGAATATACATTCTTCTCCAGGTCATATGAAATATTCTCAAAGATAGACCACATGTTAGGGCATAAAACAAGTCTATACAAATTCAAGAAGATTGATATGATACCAAGCATTTTCTCAGATCACAATGGCATGAAGTTAGAAATCAACTACAATAAAAAAAAACACCTCAAAAATGCTCAAATACATGGAGGCTAAATAGCATGTTATTAAACAATGAATGGGTTACCAATGATATCAAGCAAGAAATTTAAAACTTCCTGGATATAACCCTGGAAAACATATATGCACCCAATATTGGAGCATCCAAGTACATAAAAAACTCTTGATGGACTTTAAGGGAGACGTCAACAGCAATACAGTCATAGTAGGGGACTTGAACACCCACTGACATTACTGGATAGATCTTCCAGACAAAAAAAAAATGAACAAAGAAACAGAGGCCTTAAATGACACACTAGATCAGATGGATCTAACTGATATTTACACAACATTTCACCCCAAAGTAACAGAATATACATTCTTCTCCAGGTCATATGAAATATTCTCAAAGATAGACCACATGTTAGGGCATAAAACAAGTCTATACAAATTCAAGAAGATTGATATGATACCAAGCATTTTCTCAGATCTCAATGGCATGAAGTTATAAATCAAC